GGGGGGGGGGGGAGGTGTCTTGCGGCCGCCGCGCGCGCTCCCCCCATGCGGCTTCCGCCCTCGCTCCGTCCCGTCCCCCTCTCTGTCGCACACATATGCACGCGCCGTGCCGCTTCCCCCTCCGCCCCTGCACGGAGCGTGTACTGCACCGCGCCCTATGTATGCACTCACGCGCATGCGACGCATTCTGCCCCCCCCCCCCCCCCCCCCCCCCCCACGCCTATACCTGTTTCCCCCTCACAACCCCAAATCCACTTGCCTCTGCAGCATCCACTCTCCGCTGCCTTGTCTCCCTGTGCTTGTTCATTTGCCCTCTTCCTCGCGCGCCGCCCCATGCATTTGGCTGGGCAGGCAGACCATCGGCGAGGATGTCCTCCACAGCGGGGGGGGGGGGGGTGTGTCGTGTGGGGGGGGAGGAGGGCGAGTTCCTGTTTTTGTTTTTGGGCCGCCGCCAGCGAGTGGCAGGCTCCTTGCGGCGCGCGCATTCTTCACTTGCGGAGCCTGCTGTTGTCTCCCCTGCGAAAGACCACCGAGCTGGACAACCGGCCCGGCCCGTAACTGGGGTCGCCTTAACTTAGAGTCACATGCGGAGATCACCAGATCACCAAGCAGACACCGGACCCTGGCGCTCCGCGGCATGCACCCAGCCGCTGGGACCCGGCGGCTGCCCTACCCGCGACCCGGCCGGGAAGGGTGGGATGTTCGGCTGCGGGATGTGCACGGCGCCCTGTGATGGTTCCCCCTGGCGCGGTGGCAGGGGAGGCGGGGGCACCGAGCAGGATCATCTGGCAACGGCGGCCGCGCGTGTGGCCGTTGGCTAGATCGCCCTTCCGGGTGTTCGGCGGGCCGGGGGGCGCAGGGTCGGGGGGGGGGGGGGGGGGGGGGGGGGGAACAATGGAACGCGGTCTTTCGTGGGCACAGGTGGGCCTGGAGGCGGGCGGGCTGGCGGAAATAACAACAACAATAACAACAACTTGATATTTCCAAGACCGGGTCTTCGCGTATCTCTTTTTCTCCCCCCGCCCCCGGGTGGAAAGGAGGCGGCGGCGAGGGCGCCGCGTTAGACCGCCCGCCCAAGGCTCGGGGGTGCCGTGAGCTCCGGTCGCCGCCCGGAGGGGGGGCACAAAGGCTCCGGGGGGAGGGGGGGGGGGGGGGGGGGGGGGGGGGCCGTGGGGCTGCGGGGTGTCTTACAAAGACCGTCCGATGGCCGAGCCAGGCGCAGCCGGGGGTGCATCAAGAAAACCCCTGGCGTGCCCCGCATGGAAGTGACATGACCGTCGGCATATGGGGACCAAATAGCATCTCACTTCGGGGAGGCTGCTTGCCGCGCGCAGATGGGCGAGGCCCTCTCCGAGGGATGGGGGGGGGGGGGCGACAGGTGTTGTGTGTCCTGAGGGGGGGAATCCATATACGCTCATGGATATGCATGTGCCTTTGTGGGTGGGTACTTGAAA